TGCTTTGTTCACAAGAGCAAAGAGCTGGAAACAACCCAAGTGCCCATCAACAAATGAAAGGCTAGAGAAGCTCTGGTATAGTCACACAATGGAGCACTGAAAAACAAGGAACTCATGAAGTACTGTGCTAATCGGATGACCCTAAAGGACATTCTGCTGAGTGAAATATCTCAGTCACAAAAGGACAAATATTGCATAGTGCCACTATTGTAAAACAGGACTGACATTGGGGTTGGGGAAGACAGAGAAGAAGGGGAGGAATGATGTATACTGCATTGCAACAGATGAGGGAGAGAACTGTTTAACAGGGACGTATGATTGGGTATTATTGTCATGACAGGAGTCCAGAATGAAGGCTGCACAGTGTAGTGGACTTCAGGGGAGGGACTGCATAGCAATGAAAGAGTTTTTCTTTTACTCATCAAGGAGAAAAGTGAATTGGGGGGGGTGGGGGTGGGCAGGGAGAAAAGTGCAACAATGAATGACTGGAAACCTTAAGTCTCTATAAACTTTCATTAAATTCAGTTTAAAAAAAAAAAGAGTGTGGCTGGGATTCGGCCTTTCACCTGAACCTGCTCGAGTTTGATGTGGTTGTACTTAGAGGCCTGGGTTGACTGATTGTTCAGGGGTCCTGCCGTGCTCCTTGGGTGGTCCATGGCAGCCATCCTCTGAGTAAGGATGATTTTACAGGGAGGGAATGGAGGTTCAGAGAGGGAAGGAAGTCTTCCAGGGTTCCCTGAAGTTAAGTTCATTTACGGAATCAGAGATGTGTACATGTTACCATAATTACGCTTTCCTGTAGCGAACTGTATGTACTGAGCAACATCAATTCGTTGGTCAACTTTGAGCATCACTGCTTTTACCCAGGGGTGGGACACCCACTCTTGACCAAGATGTGTGTTAGGCCCCATTGACATTTCTGCTGGTATCTTTTACAAGACCGTGCTAGGACTTTTGGTTTGGGGTCAAACTTATATAAGTCTGTGTTGGAGGAAGTGCAATGAGGGTGCCCCGTAGAGGCGAAGATGGTGAAACTTCATCTCATATGCTTTGGACATGACAGTAGGAGGGGCCAGTCCTTGAAAAAGGACATCATGGGGAGCTCTGGTGGCCTAGTGGCAAGAAGCTGCACTGCAATCCCAGAAGTACGTGGTTCGAATCCCCCAGATGCTCTTCCGGGGAAGGAGGGACAATCCCCTTCTGTACCAGTCAGATCTGATTTGACGGTACACACAAATAATAAAATAAAAAAAAAAATTTTAAAAAGAAAAAGGACATCATGCTGGGAAAGGTGGAGGGTCAGAGAAAGAGAGGAAGACCCTCAACCAGATGGACGGACACAGTGACTGTGTACACAGAGGGTGAGGATGGTGCAAGATAGGGCAGGGCTCAGATCTGTTGTTCATAGAGACATTATGAGTGGTAGTTGACTCAGTGGTACCAAACAACAACTGAAAATTCTTTTTCTTTCTGCATTTAAAGGCTTATTAATAAGAAACTCATCCTTTGATTTCTTAACTGCTGCCGCCATGGATGTTGATGGTGGATCCAAGTAAAATGAAATCTTAGACAACTTCAGTCTTTCTTCCCTCTATCATGGTACTGCCTGTTGGTTCAGTAGTGAGGATTTTTATTTTTTTTTTCCTGAATGTTGAGATGTAATCCAAATTGAAGACTCCTTGAAGGCAAGGATGGGGAAGTCCCATCTCACATTCTTGTCATGAGGGGCCCATCCTTGGAAAAAGGATGCTGGGAAAAGTGGAGGATCGGAGAAAAAGAGGAGGACCCCCAACTAGGTGGAATGACATAGTGACTAAATAGTGGGCTTGAGCACAGCAGAGCTTTGAAGATGTGAGGGATAAAGGCAGGGTTCACATCTGTTCTTCACAGGGTCACTGTAAGGTGTTAACACAAACCACAACAACTACTACGAAATAAGATCAGATAATCAGTAATGAGACCCCTTGATGAGTGCTCCCCCCTTGTTCCTTGCTCTATGCCAAGCTTCTGGCTGGGGTGAGGGTTGGGGGGGTTGTATGAAAGAGTAAAGTGAAGATGGAAATCTCCCATGGTTAATTATAGCATTATAGAAATTCCTAGATCGGATGCCTATTTATGTTATGGAACGAATTCATGTTTTACACTCCATCGTTCTGTGATCCAATATCGGATGAGCCCTAAAATAAATGAGAGTGTGTGTGTGTGTGTGTGTGTGCACGTGTGTGTGTGTGTGTGAGTGAGAATGAAACCAAGTCTTTAGCCCTGGAGATGATTTTGACTCATAGTGACCTATAGGACAGAGGTGTCACATAGGGTTTCTGAGGCTGTAATTGAAAATTTTTTTTAAATTTTATTTTTATTATTTATGTGTGTGTGTGTGTGTGTGTGTACCGTCAAATCAGATTTGACTGGTACAGGAGAAGATTGTTCCTCCTTCTCCAGCAAAGCATCTGGTGGATTTGAACAGCTCACCTCTCAGATTGCAGTGCAGCTTCTTGCCACTAGGCCACCAGAGCTCGCTGAGGCTGTAATTTTTAAAGGAGTGGATTGCCACATCTTTCACCTTCAGAATAATTTGTGGGTTTGAATGACCCATCATTCAGTTAGCCATTAGTGCTTTTAACATGGTGCCATTACACCACTCTTATGTGTGTGTGTGTGTGTAAGTAAATATTTACATGTGATAGAGGTCAGAGAATGGCACATTGGCTTTGGTGCAAACAGGCGTGGGTTCAGACTTCCACCTTACTTGTTTATTGATAAGGAGTTGCACTGCAAACCC